TTTCCCCTGGCTGGGACCATCTCTCCTGAGAAGATGGCACTAAACAGAGCCCCAGGAGCTGCACAGCACCAGCCTGGCCTTCACCCCCCTCCACCTCCCTGCAGTGGTTGCAAAACCCCATTTTTTTGTTATTTTCTCCTTAGGCAGACAAATTTCTCCCTCCAGGTACAGGCACAGCTGCAGCTGATCCCCTGATTTCCCTTTCCACAGGCACCACTTGTGTTCTCTCCAGCTGTGCAGGGATCACAGGGCTGGGCTCGGGCACGGGATGCCCTGAGCTGCTCCCTGGGGCAGGCAAGGAGCAGCAGGACCCTGCCCAGTAGTGGTGCTCCAGTTCCCCCAGGAGGGACATCCCTCAAGGCCCTGTGTCCCTGAGCCACCAATCCTGGTGGCTGGAACTGGGTTTTTTTGACTAGGCTTTTTTTAGCTGGTACTTGCCTTAGGCCAGTGATGTGGTGGGGACTAAGTAAACATCATCATCTTCTAGGTAGGAACTGAGGTGCAAAAGCAAGCAGTGACCACTCCTTCCCCGGCAGAAGTGGATTTGGGTTGGTTTTTGTGAGTTTTGGGGGGACTGACCCCAGCAGGTGCCCTGGGCCAGCTCAGGGTGTGGCTGAACACGGGCCAGTGGGGCAGCTTTCAGTGAATGTGGCGTTTTCAAACCAAAAATGGTGCCTGGGACGTTCAAAGGCACCTTTTCACACAAATCCCTCTTGTAAATATTTATCCTGCGGGAGCCTCCACCAGCAAGCAGCTCTGGAGGTGCTGGCAGGCTCAAGCAACCTCTTGTGCCAGGACTAGGGAGCTTTAAAAACTGCTTTTGTTCCTGTTTGGAGCAGGAAAATCCACCAAGGTCCCGCTTGGCAGGTCTCAGGGGACACAGGGCCTTTCAGAGCCTCTGCTCCTTGAAAGTCACCCCTGATGAGTGACCAACCTGCAGGTTTCCCCATGTCCATTTTCCAGCTGTTTTGGGTGCAAAAGCAAACTTGAAAATGCAGCTTGTCCCCTCCACCACTGCAAAATGGGAAAACCCCAACAACCAACACACACAGGAAAGCAGCTGGGTCCTGGTGGACACCAACCTGAGCACGAGCCACCAACAAACTTCCACTTCCATCTAAAAATCACCAACGAAGAATCAAACAAAGCAGCAGTTTAAGTGCTTTTCCTTTCACAAGGGGAATAACTCCTATTACTCTCATTATTCTTAATATACTCACTAAGTATTTTTGGGTGAACATGTGCACTCGTCTAAACAACTGGAACAAATATTCTGGGTGGAGTGGCCATCCCACTGGATTCCCTGGAGATATTTGTCCAGAGGGGCTGAGATTGGACGTGCCTCTGAAGACCATGCAGTCAAATCATGTGATTTTAAACCCCCTAAAAAACCCCAACATTTTCCCCCAAAACCTCCCTGTTTTTTTTCCCTTAAAAACCATCACTTGGTTCCTCAAAAATCGGGATTTCCCCCCTCCCCCCAGCAAAGCCAGTTTTGTTCCTCAGAAATGCGGTTTTCTCAAAAAAAAAAACATTTTCCCCCCAAACCCCACCATTTTCTCCCCCCAAAAAAAATTTCTGAAAAAAACCACCATTTTTCCAAACCCCTCCAGTTTTTTGCCAAACCCCCCATATTTTTTCTAAAAACCCCCATATTAAAAAAAAAAATCAATTTTTGCCCCCCCATATTTTTTTTAAAAAAATGGTTTTACCCCACTTGTTTCTCAAGAAACCACAATTCCCCCTCCAAAATAAAAAATTTTCCCAAAACCTCACAAGTTTTCCAAAGATATTCTCAAATTTTTCCCCCAAACCCACCATTTTTTTCCAAAACCCCACATTTTTTCCCAAACCCACTGATTTCTTTCCCATAATACCCACCATTTTTTCCAACCCCCTCCCCATTTTTTCACAAACCCACTGATTTCTTTCCCATAATACCCACCATTTTTTCCAACCCCCTCCCCATTTTTTCCCAAACCCACTGATTTCTTTTCCATAATACCCACCTTTTTTTCCCCTAATAAAACCATTTTCCTTCCTAAAAAACTCCATTTTTTTCCCCCAAACACCCCATTTCTTTCCCCAAAAAACACTTTTTACCCCCAGAACACCAGTGACATCCTAAACATGCACATGGAGCCAACTGGGGGGCCCTGTGAAGAGGCACCTTGGGCTGCCCTAGACAAAGCGCTGCCGGTGGGTTGAGGTGATGCTCCATCCTTGGAGATGCTCAAAAGCCATGTGGGCATGGGGAGGACATCTGACCCTGCTCGAGCAGGGCTTTGACACCTCCTGAGGTGCCTTCCCAGCTCCACAGCTCGTCCTTTGGCAGCTCACAGGCAGGAAGCACCTTTGCCAGTCACCACCCGAAAATGCGGGCGAGTGGCCGCGGTTCCTGCCGGGCAGGAGGCTCTGCCAGCACCCACACGCCAGGCTGGCACTGCTGGGATCCCAAAGAAACGCTGGAACAAACCCTCAGCCCTGCCAAGGGCTTTCCCAACCCTGCAGCAGCAGCAGCAGCATCAACACCGGGTAGTCGTGGAATCATAAAATCACAGAATCACAGAATCAGCCGGGTTTGAAAGGACCTCCGAGATCATCCAGTCCAACCCTTGATCCAACATCGCTGTGGTTCCCAGCCCATGGCACTGATGCCACATCCAGTCTCATCTTAAAAACCTCCAGGGACGGAGAATCCACCACTTCCCTGCTCCTCCCCACCGCGGGTGACCACTGGAAATAGCAGGGCTCTGACATCACCAGGAGCCTCCCCGTCACTCAGCGTGCAGCTTGATTAACATGCAAATGGGGTGATGTTTCCTGGGGGAGGAAGGGTTTCTTCCCGTGGGGGGAACCAGGGAATCTGCAGAATGAAGTGTTTGCACCCAAAGTGTGACTCTGCTGAAAACACTGAGCTGTGGCTCTCCAGCCTCTGGGTAGGAGCTGTTCGTGAAGCCTTAACAGCAGTGATAATCTGGATTAACCCAGGACTAGTTACTGGTTATTAACCAAGGAGTGGTATGGTCATGCCCCTTACAAGCTCAGAAATTCACCTCACAAAGGCCTAAGAAAATCACCTTAAAATATTACAAGCTTAAAACCTCATAGATTTTTTTTTTCCTCATAGGAAGTGAATAGGAACCATATTCCCAAAAGTTCCTTTAAATCAAACATGGAATTGAATTACTTTGCTGAAGTTACTAAATACTGAGTAACTGCTCAAACTGAGGAGAGACAATAAGATTTGTGTGGGGTGCTCAGGGCAGGTTTTGGGTTTCAAATGTAGCTACAGCCATTTGCAGGACTGCAGATACATTTAAATTCCTGGTTATTTGCCATCCCTGTACTTGCCCAAACAACTCTGGGTTTGTTTCACAGCTGGCTGTCCAGAGGGAATCACTAATGGACAGTAACTTAAGAATAAAAAGGTGAATGTTGACCTGCAGAAGCGTTTTGCATCAAAATCATTAGAGTTATGCTCCCTGGTGGAATAAAAAGGGATTATCCTGATTCAGCCCTTCCCCATCCCTTGCTCAGCTGCATGTTGAAATATGAAACTTCATCTGTTTGCTGGGCACTGTGGCAAATGCTGTGAGGGGACAGGGACAGTCACCTTTTCCACAGGCATGTACAAACATCCCTTTATTTGTGCATCAGATCACAAACACAAAAGTATTTCCCCCTCTAGGAAAGAGCCCGAAGCCAAGGTGCTGTTTTCTGTCACCCACGTGCCTTAGGCAGGGTTCTGGAGCCTGCCTGGCTTTGGCAACAGGATTTATCCAACAGGAGTGTTCTACCAGCAGGGAACAACACCTTTCCTCTGAGCTTGCCAGGTGTGTGACAGACACAAATTCAGTGAAGCCTCAGAGCAGCCCCGGTGAGGCAGGTGGGGATTAATCGAGGAATTAATCACTAGAGAGAAACCAAGTCAGAAAATGAGTCTCTCAGTCACTTCTACCCTGCCCTTGATGCTGGTTTCCAAGACAAACAGGTTATTTGTTGGGTTACATTAGAGCAGACCCCTGCAAGACACCTTTCTGCACCTCCCAGCCCCTGCTTTGGTGCTGGGGAGGTCACTGCACCCTCCTCACAGGTGGGCACCCCCCTCACCCCCCTGAGGGCACTGCCAGCAAAGGCTGTGTCTGCAGAGGTGGCCAGAGGTGGCCACGGGGGCAGAGCCAACAGCCACGATACCCAAACCCAAACCTCAGTGGAGCACTGGGAACAAAAACCCTGTTGAAAATCCCGACTTACTGCCCAGCTCCTCTTGGGAGATGAGGACTCTCCTCCTCTCATTCTCTCACAGCAGCACTTCTTGCAGTGTTTTCCAGAAACCCTGGCTTTGCTGGTACAAAGTGACTTTGTTAACTGTAGGTTTTCCATTGGAAGAGACAAGAGAGAAAGGGGAAGGACAACTCAGACCAATTTGAGGGATGGGGAAGTGAAACGTGGATCCTGTGTCATGTTCAGAGAATAAGTTTACAGTGAGGCCTAAAAATAAACCCTGAACTTCCAAATTGTTGCCTTATCTAGAGGAGCATCTCCTCTCTCTGACTCCTGCCCTAGTACTCATTTCATTCTCATCTCTCCCACAGTTTGGATCACTACAACATGAGCTGCTGACTTCTGGGTGGCTGAGGGACAACCAGGTTATTGTCCCCTGTGTTTTGGGGTGCTGGACTCAGACCTGCACAGACCCTGCTCCTGACGGAAAAGAAAAAGCACAAAATACTCCTGGGCACGAGATTCACAGCAATTTTCACTGAACTTTCTCATGGTTTAGGACTGTGGTTGTAAATTCTTCTTCCCCCTTGCACCCAACAAGGTCTGGCCACTGTAAAAAAACTCACATTTGGGAGATCCAGCCACCAGTAGTGGCAGGACTGGTGCCCAGCTGGAGCTTCCTTACAGCCCAGGGAGTCCCTGCCCAAGGGAACAGCCCTTGATAGCACTGGAGGAACAAAAAGAAATCCTGGAACTCCTGCAGTGCTGCTACTTTAGTTCTGGGAACCTGGGACAGAACAGGAGGAGGAAGTTCAGGGTCTGGATCTCCAGCAGCCACCCCGTGGGATCTTCCAGGAGTGTCCTGGGTGGTTCCTGGACCTTTCACACTCACTTGGTGCCCAGCATTTGCAAAATGAGTCAGAAAGGTTCCCTTGGCATTGGCAAACATTGGCAAACACATAAATCAGGGGATCCAGGCAGGTGTTTGCCATGAGCTGATGTTGGAGGCAACTGCTCCTCTGTGCAAGAGGTGCCAAGACATGCCACAGGACTTCACAAGGATGCCAGTGGTCCTGCAGATGTGCAGGGAGCCAAAGCAGGTGGCAAAACCCACCAGAGACACTGCAATCATCTGCAGAAACCTGCAATCATCTGCAGAGACCTGCTCTTCCTCTGCTGCCTCTGGAGCTTTCCCTGCTGCTGCAGCAGTGGCAGCTCCCAACAGAGCTCCACAAATCAGGGAAATGGCAAAGGACAGGAGGAAAGAGAGCAAAACAAGAACTATGGTGTGGAAGAAGAAAATACATGAATATCCAGGCATTTTGTTGAGCCTGGGACTGAAGTCTTGAGGAGGAAGAAGAAAGGCAACCCTGGGACAAAGAGGATGAGCCAGATGAACAAGCACAGGTTCTCCAGATTTCTTGCAGAGGGACTTGCTCTTGTACCATACAACACCAAAGTACTGGTGGATGCAGATGAACATCAGGAAATAGATGCTGCAGTGCAGGAAAACTTGAACTGGCAGAGGAACTTCCCAAATGGCCACTGGTTGCCAAGGCTGAGGTAGGAAAGCCTGAGTGGAGCAATGGGGATGATCAGGACACCTCCCAGGACCAGGCTGAACTGCAGGATCGTGCCTGAATCCCACTGTTTGATCCAGAAGCCGCTCAGCAGGAGAAGGGTGCCCAGGGCAGGGACAGTGGGTGCAGCCCCTGGACACTCAGTCCACACTGGGGTTCATGAAGGTGAGAGAGGACTCAGGAGAACCCTCTGTGCTGACCTGCAAGGGGTGGGGTGGAAGAGAGAAGCCCCCGAGCTCATCACCTTTAGGCTGAGCTGGGTCAGAGGCAACAGGGGCTGAAGCAGCAGAGGGAGGTTTTCCAACGATCCCTGATCCTGAAGATCTGTGGCCAAAAGTCGATCACGATTCATCCTGGCCTCCACATATTATCCTGGCACCTTCAAAGGCCCAAAGTCTTGCTTTGGTTTTCCAATGATCACTGATCCTGGCCTCCACAGGTTCAAGGAGCCAAAGTCTTGCTTCTCACACACAAATATACAACCTCGTGAGAATCAGATTCCAACCTGTCACACTCAGCTTGACATCCTCCAACTGTGCCACAAAGGGAGGAGAAAGGGCTACACAGGAACAGTGGGAGCAGCTTAAATGTTCCCCACCACTAACTGCTGATGGAGGAAGATGACACAGATGGTGCTGTTGCTGCTTGGCTCCAAAAGTCTCTGCATTTCAAATGCCTGGTGAGACCCCAGCATTCCCCACACTCCATGATTCCAGCTTATGGTTACAGCACACTCAGCCAGTGCCTGACTGACCTGCTCCCTTCTCCTGCTGCCAGACTTTCCAGCAGTAAAACATCTCCCTGGCCTTTTGGCAGCCTCACATCCACCTGGGGATGATCCTGAAATCAGATCCCTGGGATTACATTCAGGCACTTGGATTTACACTCTGGCCCCTGTGCCAGTCACTGCTCACTCTGCCTTTGGGGTATGACCACGTCCCACCCCAGCACCTCCCCAAAATGCTCAGGGCACTTTGGGGTACCAGCTCCATGGAATGATGCTCTCAGCCTGTCCTGCTGCAGCCACAGCTCTGCACCACATCCCAAGGGATGAGGGACAGGTCCCAGGGAGGAAACAGGCCTGAAGGCATTGTCACAGCTGATGTGTTTTTAAACAGAGGCATCTTCAGCCAGCACTGAAACTGCCCCTTCCTGTGTGCTCCAGGGGGGCTGAGGAAGGAACGGGGCTTGAACAGCTCAGGAGGTGTTGAGAACCAGTTTGTCCTCACCAGGGCTTGCCCAAGCCTGGCTGAAACAGGGTGTCAATTCCTTAATCCAGCCTTTAACCCCCATTTTGGTAAATCTGGGAGTCAAAGCCAGGGGGTCAGGGAAGGCTGATTATTATTTGCTAAAACATCAGCAAAGGACAGTGGCTTCTAACACAGAGGGGGCTAAGGCAGACATTACATGTTTGCTTTCCTCTGTCTTTCCCTATTTTTCCTAAAAAGTGAACCTTTCTGAATTAAAGCCTTTTTGATAATGTTTTGTTGCTGCCTTATGGCACCATCACCCACAGAGCTGCAGAAATCCCACCCCATTCCAGAGAGCAGCCACGCTGGCAACAAGGGGATCCTTTCTTTTCTGCCCAAAACAGACCCACTGTGGTGGCAACAACCAGCTCAGGGTGACAAGAATATACAAGGTCATGGGTTTCATTGAAATCCAGCAGGTTTGGGTGCTGTTTACTCTTTAGGCTCAGTAAAAGCTGCAGATTGGTGGGATCAGAAGCTGTGGATGGGGAGGTGTGTCCCCAAGTCACAGCAAACAGTCCAAACAAGCATCATTCTGCAGGGTCAGAAAATGGGAATTTTTGAAACTGTCTTCCTGCTTCTTTCCCAGGCAAAAGGAAACCTTCCTTCCTCCCCAGTAGCCATAGTCTGGATTCAATGCCCACTCTGTAGGAAACGAGTTTTAATAGATGTAATAATTTCGTAATGAAAGAGACCGAGGATCTGTACTGTGAGTGAGAGGAGGAATTTTGAGAGGTAAGAAGAAAACACCTAAGAATTATTCCAAAATTTGAAATGTGCTTTAACTTAACAAGGCAAAACAAGGGGGGAAAGAAAGTTAATTTTCATGTAACTTGAAGGCAAATCACACAAACCATTAGCCACAAACTTGCCTGGAGAACAGCAGGAGAAATGCCCCATCCCTGGAAGTGTCCAAGGCCAGGTTGGACGGGGCTTGGAGCAACCTGGGCTAGTGGAAGGTGTCCCTGCCCATGGCAGGGACTTGGAACAAGACGGGGTTTAAGGTCCCTTCCAACCCAGCCCAGCCTGTGATGCTGTGATTCCATAATTAGAGCTAATCTGGATGTGAAAGGGAGGAATCAGGACCCACATCCAGCCCTGCAGCTCCGAGCCCTTCGTGTATAAAACCCCCTCACCTGTCTCAGCCCTTACAAACCCCAACAGCGTTTGGTGGGGTCACGCCCATGGAGAGCTTCACCTTTAGAAGCTGGTTCCTGTTACAACATAACACGAATAAAGCCTCACACGCAGCCCCGGGGGAGACTGACCCCGTCCTCCCGGAGGGCCAGGCCGGTGGCAGAGCAGCAGAAGCACTGGAGCTCCTTCAGACTCCCCAGGGAAGAGCTGATGGGCAGGAGGAGCCTCCGGTGACCCCCTGGCTGGATGGTGGAAAGGAGAGCTCGGCAGTGAAACTCCAGCAGCTCAGAGAACTGCAGGCAGCAAAAGCAGAAGCCGATTCATGAGAACAGCTGGACTTTTTGCTCAAAATCCTCCAAAAGCAGGAGATTCCGGGGTTGCTCTCCCCAGGGGAAGGTCAGGAGGTGCTGGGGAGTGGAGCACAGACCCTGCAAGGGTGCAGGGGAAGTGGTTGTGTGACCCCACCCAGCACAGTGAGCAGGGTCCAGCCCCAGCAGGAAGCATCGAGGGGTGCAGAGCTCAGCAGGGCTGGGGTGACATCACTTCCCAAACCACTGGAACACCAGCAGGGGGGTGACCACTGTGGCAGAGCCAGGTGGGGTAAGCTGGGCAGTCAGGGGGGGTTTCCAGGTACTGCAGACACTAATCTTGTGTAGCTGTAACATCACAGGCAGAGTTTGACACCAACCCCCCCATTGTACTCCCCCCAGCCTGAGATCTCAGCTGCAGCATTTCAATCCAGCAGGTTTGGGTGCTGTTTACTCTTTAGGCTCAGTAAAAGCTGCAGATTGGTGGGATCAGAAGCTGTGGATGGGGAGATGTGTCCCCAAGTCACAGCAAACAGTCCAAACTAGCATCATTCTGCAGGTCAGAAAATGGGAATTTTTGAAACTGCCTTCCTGCTTCTTTTCCAGGCAAAAGGAAACCCCCAAAGGGTTTCACTGAGATGTTCAGATGATCTCTGGTGTGTGGGTGCAGAAGTGTTCTGGTCCAAGCCCAACCTTGAAACTGCCACCACCTTTGCTTTGTAAGGCAGGACACATCCATAGCTGAGATTAAAAGCCCAGAGGGTGAAATCCCAATGCTCCATCCCAATGAACTCCTTGGGACCTGATGGAAACAGTCCCTGAAGGAAAGTTAATCCATGGATGGTCAAAACTTGATGCTTCCAAGCCCCCCTGGGTGCTCCTGTGGGCAGCCAGCTCCGGGGTGACAGGGGCTTTCCCTGGCTCTCTGGGGAAGGGCTGCAAACTGAATTTCAAGCTAAAAAGGAAGTTTCTAAGCAAAGTGTGGTTTAGTCTGCGTGCAGCCCACAGAGACTATTTTGAGCAGAGCCAACATCCCACAGCCTCCTGCCCTGGGATGGCAGCACCTGAAGCCACACGAGGTGACTCCCTGCCATGGGGGGCCTTAGGGGAAGCTGCACTGGGGCAAGGGGCTGCACAGGGCGCCCAGAAAGTGCTGCTTCATGTCCTTTTTTAGGCTTTTGGGGGCGTTTGTCTTCTTCTGTAATAAATAGCCCAGCTCAGTGCAGCGGCTGTGCTGGTTCTGTGTGGTTACAGCACATGTGGGGTGTCTTCTTGGGAATTCCTGTCTGGAGCCATTCCTTGTGTATCATGATGTCACAGCACAGCCCTTCCTGGGGAGGAAGTCACCCACCTCCCCTGCAAGGGGAATAAATGTGTGACAAAGGGTGCTGAGGGGTGAAAGTGCACGGAATGAGACCCAAACCCCCAGGGGCTGGAGTTACCTCAGCACATGGGCCACCCTTGGCTGTGCCCTCCTCACCCTGGGCCCTCAGTCAGCCCAGACCATTGTGCACATACCACAGTGAAGGTGAGCCTCTGCAGGGTCTGGACTCTGGGGGTCCACACCACTGAAGCCTGGTGGATCCCAAGCCCTCTGCCACCACCAGCTCCCATTCAGAGGTGTTTTCCTTGGGCAGGACCTTCTCTGACAGAGCTCAGAGCACCCTGAACATTTGCAAAAAAACCAGAGCAAACCCACAGCCACCTGAAAATAAGACTGGTTTGCAATCAAGGGTTCCTCTGCATAAGGGGTGAGAGAACAAACATTTGTGCCATAAATTCAGCGTGGAAGATGCTTCCAGCCGTGCTGGATCAGCCCTCACAGCAGCAGCTCCCAGCCGGCGCCTTCGCTGGCTCCAGAACGGGAAAAGCAAAACCAGCAGAGATGCAAGGGCTGAATGAGGACAGAGACAACCTGAACACCACGTGTGGAAAAGAGTTTATTGGAAGGAAACATGATGATATTTACAGGGATAAACCCAGCATGTGATCAGCAGAGCACAGCAGTCCAGGCCCTTCACCCTTCCTGCCCAGTCAGGTCCATCTGTCCCTGCTCAGGTCTGTCTGCCCCACTGAGGACAGAGGAGCCCAGCGTGTCAGTGAGGCCAGTCCCATCCTGTCCCACTGGAGTAATTCATTTAAACCCTTTTTCCACAGGAAGTGCTCCCAGCAAACTCACACAGGCTCTGGCAGAAGAGCAGGGAGAATATCCAGCTACGCGTCCGCCCTCACACTCAACTCCAGGGCAGCAAAGTCCCCCAGCCCCCAGAAACACTTTCTGAATGTTCTTCCTCCTGCCACCTTCTCCCTCTGTTGCTGTCACCTCTGGCTGTACCTGCAGGGATCAGGACAGGCCGTGGAGGCCTCAGGGACAGCCACAGTGTCACAGTGTCACAGGGCTGAGGCACAACTTCGCGGGGGGGTTATGCTTTGAAATGTGCAGAAAACATTAACTGCCACTTCTTGCTCCTTTTTCAAACACATCTGAACACGAGGCATCAACTTCAAGGCAGAAACTTCATCTCCCCCATGTGAAAGTAGAGGTTTACATCTGAGTTACTTATCCTACTTGGGATAGAGGATTGGGAACTTCAAGAGCACAGTTCAGGCAGCTTCCTTGTGAGGTTTAACTTCATAGGAGTCACTTCACACCCCCTCCCATTCCCCTCTTTGCAGCACCTGGGTCTGGGTGCTGAGCTCAGGTGACTCCAGCCCTGGGTGACTGAACAAACACAGTGTCAACCAACAGGAACAATTTGCAAACAACTGAGCAGCAGACAAATGTGCAAATGTATCTGGTGGCTACTTCTGGGTAATGAATGCATAATCTATCCCGACTCCCTTCCCTGTCTGCTCCTGGATAATGTGTCTGTGAGCCTGAGTCAGGTTTATAAATGGTTGGCAACGAGAAAAACAGGCTGTGTTTGAGCCAAACATTATGTTCAGCAAATAAGGAGCAGTTTTGCCATGGACAGCTGCTGTGAGAGCCCAGAGTCAGAATCCCTCCAGTGCTCCAAGATTCCCATCCTGCCTATGTGAGGTGCAGGATGCAACAGCAGAATTTTGCCTCTAAAATTGAATTTTATGCCCAAACTGCAGGCTCAAAAAGAGCAATATTGTATTCCTTCCCCATCTATCTGCTCATTAGAAAGTGGCTCTTACATTTATTCGGCTCAACTGCTGGGAATGCTCCAAGGAAAGCTAATTACAAGGTCATTGCAGTAAATTGCATTTGGTGGCATAACTCTGAGTCACTGGTTCAGGGCGTTTTCCCCCTTCCAGCCCAGAGTAACTCATTTAACAAGCGTGAAGGAAAGCAGAAAAAAATTTAGGGATTCTCAGTGCATGAGACTTAATGGGGAGCCAGCATTCCCAAAGTGCCATGAGCTCTGTGTGTCCCAGTAGAGGTGAGTTCTCCTGGGAGCGGTGACAGACTGGACACCAGAGATTTTCCAGTCAGTTTGGGAGCTGAGGCTTACTGGCCACGCAGTCCTGGAGCAGGAGAAGAGGAGCCTGAAACCATTTGGAGGCTTCCCAGAGCTGCCCCTGCAGGAGCAAATTTCACTCTTCCCCCCCCAGGAAATCTGCTCTCCACCCACTCAACCCTTTGGGAAGCAGAGAAGTCACTTCACTGTGCTGGGTGGCAAAGGTGCCACTTGGGGTGATCCTGCTGCTGGCTGAGGTGTCTCCAGTGCAGCTCCTCACCCTGCAGGGACGAATTCCCAGGAGGAAGGGGCTCATTCCTCCTCAGTGGTGTGTTCTCAGTGAGGAAAGCTGCAGGTTGCAGTGCCTGGGGGATGCTCCTGTGTGGGCTGGTGAGGTGGTGCAGACCCTGAGGGGTGGCTCCTCCGGCTCAGCCATCTCTCCCCACGCTCCCAACAGATCCCTCCTCACGCCTTCCGGATGATCCTTCCCGGTTTCCTCCAGTCCCTGTACCTCTCCCTGCGCACAGAGTGGACCAGGGGCCTGGAGAAGCTGGAGGGGCTGGATCTGGTGGCATTGCTGTGGGGGAACAAAGTGAGACATCGTTACTGGGGTGGGACAGAGCTGGGGCAGAGCTGCTGCGTCCAGGGGAGGCTCCTGAAAGGACAGGGAATTTTGGTTCACTACCACTGGAGCTAAGAGAAGGGCCAGTGCTGGATCCTGCTGCAGATCCTGATGCTCAAGGTGCCTGAGCTGCAGCCCCAGGGCTGAGCCTCCCCTGTGCACCTGAAGTGGTGGCAGGAACCTTCCCTGTCCCAGCTACTGGAGGTCTTGGGAAGAGCTGCTGAACTTCAAGTGCACAGATGTGAGCTCAGAACCCCCCAGACAGCCCATGAGAGCCCCATGGTCTGTCCCCTCTCTCCAGGTGGGTCACTGAAAACAAACCCCTCCAAAACTTCAGATACCTTTGAGAAGTTTTCCTTAAACCCCCTAAAGCAAACAATGTGCAGTCCTGGTTTTTCTTTGGGATTTTACCACCCTTGTTTCAGTCCATGTTCTCTCAGGGGGGTTATCCTGGATGTGAACCAACCACTCCACGAACCAACCACGCCATGAACCAACCACAGCCGTGCAGAGATGCCCAGGACAGTCTCATGGAGCTGGCTGGGCTGCAGGACCAGCAGGGCTGTGTTCACCCAGGGCTCTTCTGGGGTGACTGAACACTCCAGCCCACTTGTCCTGGGCATTTTTCCTCTCTCCAGGCCCTGTGTCCCAAGCTCTTCTTTCCTTCAGCCCTCCTGGCTGACACCTTCACTCCCCATTTTCATATCTAGATTTGCAAAGACTGCACACTGGCACAGCAAACGTGCAGGTTGTGCTGCCAGTGCTGGGGGTGAGGTGGGGCACAACAGTTCTGGAGGAACTCGGAGTGACATTTGTATGGAGTCCTGTCCCCATCCCTGCAGAAAGGGCTGTGCCTTGGTGATCTCTGGGTTTGGTGATTGGAGATCTCTCCTCTTTCCAGATCCTGCTCAGAGACCTTCCTCCTGTGATTCCCAGTGACTTTGTCAATAAACATTGTCCAGAGGAGGCCAGAGGGTACTCTGAGGGCTGGAGCCCCTCTGCTCTAGGAGAGCTGGAGGTGTTCAGCCTGGAGAGGAGAAAGCTCCAGGGAGACCTGAGAGGCCCTTGGGATAAGGCAGTGGAGTGACAGGACAAGAGGGAATGGCTTCCCACTGCCAGAGGGCAGGGTTAGATCAGATATTGGGTAGAAATTCTTCCCTGTGAGGGTGGGGAGGCCCTGGCACAGGTTGCCCAGAGAAGCTGTGGCTGCCCCATCCCTGGAAGTGTCCAAGGCCAGGTTGGACAGGGCTTGGAGCAACCTGGGCTAGTGGAAGGTGTCCCTGCCCATGGCAGGGGGTGGCACTGGATGAGCTTTAAGGTCCCTTCCAACCCAAACCAGTCTGTGATTCTGTGATCTAAGCACTGGAGGAAGGGAGAGCAGGGAGCAGCAGTGCCTTGGGATGCCAGAGGAGGCTGATGAATGGAGGCAGGGGCGGGGGAGCCGCCAGCCACTCCAGGAGCGGGGGAAGAGGGAGCTGTGGAAAAGCTGTGAATGTGAGAAAAAGCTGCCTCACAAGAGAGCCTGTTACTATCCAACAGCCACAAAAGGATCTGCCTGGGCTGAGGCTGCAGCCAAGAGAGAGGACTCTCATGTCCTAATTAGCCTGCTGCTTTATAACTTAATTTCCTAATTGGTTTTCACGTTAATTACTCCTAACAGGCCGGAGAGGTGGCAGCTCAGGCCCTGTGGCAGGAGATGGAGCTTCACCTCTACAGCACTGGCCCAGCTCCAGGCTGTGCTGGGAAGCTGTGCCCTCACTTCCATCTCATCCAAGGAGCTCTGCCTTGCTGCTGCCTCAGGGTTAAGCTCTTACAGGAAGGTTTTGAGTGGCTGCCTTGGCAATGCCTGTAAATCCTTCCTAAAATACCCCTCAGGTCACAGATCACACCAGTGCCCTCCTGGCTGGAGGTGGCACCCACAGCCACTGCCAGCAGGGCTGAGCTGAGCCAGGATGGGCTCCCTGCTGTCACCCTGGTGCAGGTGCTGGGTTTGTGCTGTGCTGCTCCTGACCTGATGTGAGGCATCAGGAACCTTTATCCCACTGCTGAGCCAAGGCTTGGACTCTATGGACAGCCAGGCTACAGATGTGGCAACCATTTCTGAGCACTTTCCAAGCCCAAGACTATACTGAAGGGTGAACATCTGGCTCCAGCTGTGCTCTCCAAGCACTGGAAACCTGGCCTTGTGGGCTCAGCAATCAAGAAACCTCAGCATTATTAACTCAGTGGGGGGGTGTGAGCCCAGGCTACACCAGAACCAGGGTGTCCACACAGGACAATCTTAATTCCACTGAAAGGATCCCAGTTCATCCTGTAATTTTCCAGTTCTCTGGGTCACAGAGCTTCACCTGTTTATGGAGCAACATGTGAAGGATTCATGTGACATGGACAGACCTGGTGGCTCTGCTTTCCCAGGCTGGCTGAGGTCAGCCAGAGGAGCAGCAGGAGCAGGGACAGCTCAGATGGAGAGGGCTGGGATGCCTCCAGGGTCTGGGTCTCTGCACAACTCATCTGGCTTGGTCCCACCTTCCCAAATGAGGCTGGGTGAGGTGGCAGCCCCTAGAGATTTTTGGGTTTGGTGGGATGTCTAATTCCCTTAGGTTCCCTATAAAAAAAAAAACCCAGTCCTATCACATTTTCCTGGCTGCTTGATGCAAGTTTTTTTGGTGGCTTCTAGTAAATCAAATAAGTCCATTAGGTTTTCTCTTTTGCATCAGGGTGCCCCAGAGCTCAGTGCAAGTTGTGTCCCAAGTCCTCCCTGCACACTCTGCCTTGAAGACAGTGATGAAATCTGCCTCTGACCTCAATCAGAAGCCAGCCAGCCCCTTCTCTTTCAAGCTATTTCTGCACTGTCTCCACCCATGGCAGTGTTCCCAGTGCTAATCATTTCACTTGTACAAGGTGCAGCTCAGCTTTGCTGGTCTGGAAACCCAGCCAGGGAACGTATCCCTGAACTGCAGATGAAGAGGCTGGGAGCTGCTGGCTACTGATTTCCATCAGCCCCGGGAGCTTCCTCACTCCGCTGCTTTCCCTGGGGGGTCTTGTCTATGGAGACACCTTTGGGGGGTGTTTGTGCAGCACCAGGCACAGGAATTGCTGCTGGGAATGAAGTCTGTCAGAGGATTAGGATGAGGAGTGAGCTGTGAGCTCACTCGAGCTGCAGCCATCAGACCTGGAGCAAACTGGGTCACTGGCGTCTTTTCAGGTCCCAGGCTACGAGGTGTCGGTGTGCCATGGCCTGAAATCTGGCAGGAGGTGAATTTTGGGTCCTGGGGTGCAAGTCTGTAATCACACAGCTGATGGAAGCTGTCAGGATATCTTTCATTACAGGACCCCAACACTGCTGAGCCAACCCCTGCCCCGTTAAATGTGAGCGGGATGTGAACAGAAGCAGAGCTGAATTTTAAGGACATGCAGCATTTTTTGTTTATGTCCTTATTTCTCCAGCTCTTTTTTGTTGTCGGGCAGAAAACAAGGGATTGGTGTAGTGGGCACAGCCCAGAGAGTGGGAGGAGACGGAGAGATAGTGACATGCACAGTAGTGATTTAACATGAAATACTCTGATTGCAGGAGTCTCTGGAGGTTTGTGCCTCATTGATGAATATCATGCATGAAGTGTAAGCTCCTCTGCTGCCCACATTTTTCTCTTCCAGGTGAGGTGTTTGGGAACCTGAGTCACAGCAAATGTGCTGAGTTACAGCCCATTTCCACAGGAAAAAAACCCCAGTTACAGGCATGTTTATCTGCAAGTGTGTCAAATGCATGGGATGCTCAGACAATGCAGGCTCGAAGGATTAACAGACCTTAATCCTCACCCAGCAGAGGAGACAGACACACACACACATCTATAAGGACTGACACACACACACACACAACGTTTCCCCCCAAAACACCCCTGGGCTGTGCACCTTTGGGACCAGAATAGGCATCAACTCACCTCGAGGACCAAACTGGACCCGCCTGCTTCTTTGGCTTGGCCATCTGCTTCTGGTACTCCATCCAGCCACTCACCAGCTCGTGAAGGATCATCACGTAGAGAAGGAAAATAAGAATCCTGGGATCCATGCGTGGCACCTCGGGGTCTGCTTCATTGGGTACAGGTGACATTGGCTCGGGAGCAGCCGGGGGGAGCAGCTCCTGCGGCTCGGGGGGAGCTGGAGGGATGCAAAGGTTGCTGCTGGAGAGCAGCCCGGCAGGCTGGGCTTTGTGCGGAGGGAATTAGCGCCGGAGAAATCCCCGGGGGGATCCGAGCCCGCTGTCTATCGCCGTGAGGCAGCACAAACACGGCTCGGAGGCTACGGACGCGTCCTCCCGCGGGGTGGGTCACATCTCCGGGGGCTCCGGCCCTCTGGGTCCCTCTCCCTCGTGCTTTGTCTGCATTACTCCGCAGCCATGAGCTTCCCACACTTTTATTGCAGGAGCACCCCCCCCCCTTTGGTTGGTGGAGGGGGAGAGGTGGCTGCTGTGCCCGCACACCGGAGAGAGGGAGGGGAGGGAGGGAGAGAGGGAGAGAGGGAGAGAGCACTGTCTGGCTGCAAAGAATAAATCAAACCCCCAGTCAGTGATTCGGGATTCTCCAAGCTCTCACTTCCCAGTGTCTCTGGATTTTGGGATGCACCGAGCCAGTGCTGACTGGGAGTGTTACTGAGTATTTTGCAGCTGAGAAAATTTTTTTTCCTCCTCCTCGGTTTTCTCACACTCTTGTTTTGTTTTCTTCGTTGTTGTTATTCCTCACCTAAATCTTCAGCTGCTGTTTCCCCCTCGGTGAGGCTCTGACTGGCACCTGATGTGCAGGAAACCTGATGCCACATCATCCAGTCTTTCCACACCAGGGCTCCTCTCCCGGCCCTTCCAGCTCTTTCTGTTTAGAGGTGCAGGATTTGGATAACTGAGATCTGGTTGTGCCATCAGATCACGGAATCATGGAATGGTGTGGGTTGGAAAAGGCCTTAAAGCTCATCCAGACCCACCCCCTGCCATGGGCAGGGACCCCTTCCACTAGCCCAGGTTGCTCCAAGCCCTGTCCAACCTGGCCTTGGACACTTCCAGGGATGGGGCAGCCACAGCTTCTCTGGGCAACCTGTGCCAGGGCCTCACCACCCTGAGATCCCCTCAGCCTCTCCCTTCCTTCCCCCATGGACCTGTGCCTGGAATTTCTAGCTGCATAAAAGCAAAACCCAGCCTTGTTTAGACATTTGTGTAAACCAAGTAAAGAAAATACCCCCAGGAACGTGTCTCTAAGACCATCTTGCTCAAAATTCATGTTATTCCAGTGCAATCTTCCCATAAGTGAAACAATAAGCTCTCAATAAATAACTGTCAGGAGAAAATCTACCTGTGCTTAACAGAGTTGTGCCAATTGGGTGCAAAAAAAGTGCCCAGGGGAGGGGCAAACCCAGCGACCCTCATGATCCCCCACAGCTCCTGCACAACCACCAGGACCACCGGGCTTGCTCTCCAACGGGGAATGGGGTTGCACATGCTGGGGAGTGGGATCCAAGGGCAGGTGTGAGACCCCATCACACACCATCCCACAGCAAACTCACCACCAGGAAGCTGCTTCTCCCCCAGCCCAGGTTACATCACTTGGGGGTTTAACCCTTGAGGTCGGAGGTTTCTCAGACACTTCTGCCCTTTGTAAGTGCAGAAAAGTGTGCAGAAGTCTGACAGTTTATAGTTCTCTGTGAAGTACAAATCTAATACACATTCAATGCTAATTACATGATACATCTGCACAGGAAATAAACCCAAGGGCAGCACCAGCATCCCAGATAAAGCTGTGCCTCAAAGTGCTGTGTGACTTCCCTTCAGCCAACTCCTCAGGAGTCCCACAAGTGCTGAGTAACTCCCTAAACTGGGAGGGGAAGATCTCATGGATGGGAGGGAGGGAGTGAATGAAACAAGCCAGGACTGGAGGTGTTCTAAAAGCTCGGAAAATGGGAATTCTTGAGGTTCTCCATGGAAGGATAGTGGAGCCGTTCCCATGGCAACGGAGGCGGTTGCCAGGCTGCAGGCAATGGGTTCCAGTGTGTGGTACAAGTCCTACGTGGGGAGGGATTTCAGGCTCAGGACAACACTGGGATTTTATACATATGCAATTTTTGATGAGTAAAGCCAACGTGACTCCTTTGTTCCAAGGGGAGCAGCTTTTCACACAGAGTCAAAGGAGAGAAATTACCGGGGTAAAAACAGCAGAATAACTCAAAACAACTTACTCAGGATTGTGAGAGATGCTCCATCTTTGGAATAAAAATAATACTTAATACTACACAGGGCAGAAAAGCCAAAACTCGTGAGTTACTGTCAGAGCCCAAAACACAGCAGCTGTTTCCAAACCGTGACTAGTCACGAGCAATAAGTTCTTTGACAAATGAGTCACAAAAATTTAGAATTTGAAGTGATTGCAGCCCGTTTTGGGAGGGCAGAGCAGGGTGGGACTGGCCATGCTGCTGAGGGACCCCTGTGATGGCTGTACAGGGGGTACAGCCCCCTGTCACAGCTGGGGGTGCCCTGAGGTCTCCCACAAAGCTGTTGGTGTTTCCCCTCTGCCTCCCCAGCCTGGAGGTAGATTTAGATCAGATATTGGGAAGAAATCCTTCCCTGTGTGGGTGGGGAGGCCCTGGCACAGGTTGCCCAGAGAAGCTGTGGCTGCCCCATCCCTGGAAGTGTCCAAGGCCAGGTTGGACAGGGCTTGGAGCAACCTGGGCTGGTGGAAGGTGTCCCTGCCCATGGCAGGGGGGTGGGACTGGATGAGCTTTAAGGTGCCTTCCAACCCAAACCAGTGTGGGATGCTGTGATTCCATAACTTCAGCCCAAGGGCACAGCCTTGGTGTTGTGCTGGAGAAGTCTGGTGGGAGCAGAAGCACCTCTGCAGATCCTCCATTTGCTCAGGTCCTCTCAGTGGAGTCCAGGAGCATTTTTGCAAACTCACCGTGGCTTCCTGAGCTGGGAGCAATCAAGAGCTGGGCTGTTGCCCTGTTTGATAACCATCAGTACACCACAGATAAGCCAATAAAATGTGTATACAAGGTTATCACATAACAGGCACCTGTGAAACAGAGTTCACCTGCAGAGCAGAGCCTTGATCTGCTTCTCCAGCTGTCCATTGCTGTAATGGAGAGCCAGGACTCCTCAGGGCCATCCCCTCTCTCTCCTGCTGCTTTCAGACAACTCCACAGAAACAACAAGTAGGTCAAATCTGGCTGAAGGCCGAGTGAAAGGAGTGGCATGGAATAAAGTTCCCCAAGCCTGAAAGGAGAGGGAAGCAGGACCTGAGGTGGTGTCAGAGAGCCTGGAATTCAGGCAGGCTCTGAAGAACAGGGAATGAAAAGCAGGCTCTGGGATACAAAACATTCCATCCCAGTTTTGGTGGGGCAGAAACCCACAGAGAGGACAACTGTGGCAACTCCCAGTGGGAGCTGACACAAAGGGAATGGGGCAGAGCAGAGCACTGACAAAATCTCTTTCCTAAGCAGCAGCATGTCAGGTTTGCAATTCCTTTGTGAAACCAGGGTGGAAATGAGGCCAAGCTCCTTTGTCCAGGGCTCAGTCCAGCTGGTTGGGCTGGAAGAGAAACCCAGAATAATTGTGTAGTCACCGAGCCCTTCATTCCTTGCAAACCTGGCTGCTGCAGCATTCCCATTCCTTTGGGCTGCACTGTTGGAGCAAGGACACTGAGGAACAGGACTGTGTCACTCTGCTCCTCAGGGCCTGTTTCCCTCGGTGTTGGGTGACAATCTAAGCCTCTTTACTGCTAAAGAGCTTTTCAGAAACAGAGGTGGAAGGTGCCAGTCAGTATTTATATCCATTGCAGCCCCAAGGACACACTCCAGCACCAAAGATCACCTTCCTCCAGGCTCCTGGGAAGCACCCATTGCCTCATTCTTCCACTTGGAATGTGGTGTAACTGACTGCAAAACGGGAAACTCCTCCTCCCTAAGGCTCACAGTCGACCCAGAGCTCTCCCAATCTCCAGGGTGCATCACAAAAAGGCAGCAATAATTGTTTTGTTGCAGTAAGTCAGGGTTGACCTAAACTGTGTGTTTGACTTATTGCAATTATTGGCTTTTCAGAAGGAACTCCTGATCTTCACTGGAAAGACAGAGATCTGGGGTCCTCTTGTTTGGGGCCCTCCAGACAGCAGGATAGCTCTGGGAACATCAAACCTCCCACACACACGTTGAACTGAAAGATCAGGACAAGCAGCTCCTGCAACAGGCCATGGGGTCATGGTCCAAAATTCCTGTGGCATCCAGAAGGTGCAGTGACCCCCCCCCCCCAGGCAGAGTCAGGCCACAAACACCTGCAAGTGCAAGTCCCTCTGCTTAGATAAAGCACTGATCGAGGTGGATTGGAGGTCTGGGGTCTTCAAACCCCCCAGGCAGGACCCTGGTAGTTGCAGGGGTGCTTCCTGCATCCCCCCACACTCTGGTCCTCAGCCAAAGCCCTGGAGTGTTGTCCTGTTGGGATGGGTGAGATGGAAAACAAACTCCCTTTGGCTGCTCTTCAAGGAACCCGCCTGCAAAAATCCCTCTGCAATTATGGGATTGTTCAGCAGAGATTAAACAGCCCACAGTGCTCACTGGGAGGGGAACAAACTGGGAACTGGCTGTGACCTACTGGACCAGATGCTTTGCTGTTGCTACCCAGGCTTTGTTGCACAAGCAACCAACCAGTGACATTTCCAAAGAGGCCTCGTGTGCAGCTCAGGGGAACAAACATCACCTGCACACACAGCCCTGCCTTTCCTCTCCCAGCACACCAGTGCTCCCTTCCCCAGCTCGGAAGTCAAACAGATCTGGAAGGAGGGAGGAAAGTGGACACAGAACTGCCAACAAATCCAGGAGAGAGCAGCTCTCAGCCTTCCCAGCAGGCAGGAAAATGGAGTTTCAGAGTTAAAAGGCAAAAGAGGCATTGCAGAGTCTGTCAGCACCTTCCATTAGCTGACAGGAGTCAACAGTTAAAAGACAAAGAACAGATGCCATGAGACACGTTTCTTCTGAGGATTTTCACTTGTTTCTACTTACAAATGTGGTTGAAAAAAGGGCAATATGAAACTTGTACTCTTAATCATCCGATTGCTTTGTATCAGAGTGTTAGTGACTCACCCCCAGGATTTTATACACATTTCACCACTTTTGTGTTGTTAACCCTCATCAGGCAACACAGCTTGGGCACAGCAAATTGATGCTGGTCTGAGGGCAAGAAATAATATTAAAACTTAAAGTAATAATAATTGTCTTCTGAGTTCTGGATTGGGTTTTATGATAACAGAACAAGAAGTAGCACGGGTTTAGTCTGACTCAAACTGGATGGTTGGTTACAGGACTTATCACAGAAATACTGTGAGGGTGGGGAGGCCCTGGCACAGGTTGCCCAGAGAAGCTGTGGCTGCCCCATCCCTGGAAGTGTCCAAGGCCAGGTTGGAGGGGCCTTGGAGCAACCTGGGCTAGTGGAAGGTGTCCCTGCCCATGGCAGGGGGTGGGTCTGGATGAGCTTTAAGGTCCTTTCCAACCCAAACCAGTCTGGGAGTTGATCTTTCTCATTTCTTGCCACATAGAACTTTCATTCATAGGACCTGCAGAAGAAGGAGAGACACCAACCCTCCCTGCTGGGCTGCCTCTCACCCCGCAGAGGTGGAGCTGTGCTCTAACACTGGTGCTTTCCCCCTTTCCTGAGCACAGGCCCTGCTGAGGAGGAGAAGCAGCACAAGGACTCACCTCAGCCCAGGTGAGACACCTTTGCCCCTTGTGCAAGTGTTTTGCAAGAAAAGGAAGTTGGTTTCACTGCATCCACTCGTTCAGCTTTGTCCTTCTCCTCAAACTCCCCTGGCAGGTCCAGCAGGCCAAAATCCACCCACACAGATGGTTTGGCTGCTTTCTGAGAGGTTATCCTTCCAGCTGGACTGACCTCCTTATCTTCAGTGTGCTCTCCACGTGCTAAATGGATTCTCCTCAATCTGCTGATGGTCCTTCCTGCACTACAGAGGGCAAGAACAGAGAAGAGCCCTGGAAGGAGCAGGGAATGCAGAGGATATCCAGGAATGGCAAAGCCTGGAGCAACCGCAGGGCCGCAGCCCTGTCTGGTGTGTCCTCAGCACTGAGTGACAACACTGAGTGACCTTGAGTGGAGCTGCTCTCAATCCATGTTTTACACCCACCTGAACCTCCAAGGAGCTGATCTGCCCTTGTTTTTAAGGCTGAGCCTGGCTCTGGTGCTGGGAAGGATAACCAGAGCATGCCTGAGACATGAGGATGGAGCTTGGACTGACACACAAGCCCTGCAGAGCTCAGTCCTTACTCACACAACAGCCTGGACAGGAAATAAAGGTCAGAAAGAAGGTGGAGAGAGCAGAGAGCTCTGAGGTCACAGCAGGATCTATCAGAGCTGCAAAGACAGTTGCAGAAACACTTCCTGCTCCTGAAAAGCTGCTCCACCAGGACATCTCCCCAGGGATACAGCTGTATTCACAGGGGCATTTGTATGCCAGGACCACTGTACAAAAGGAAACATGGAACAGTATCTGTGTGCCATCCATCAGAACTGGGTTGCAGAGGCCAGGAACTCTGAATTGCCCCACATGCTCAGTCCTCTCTGCTTCTGGAGAGACACAGAGCACCAGGGCACAGCTCCTGCCCCACACAGCCCTGCTGCTGGGCACCTCCAAACACCACCTCCCTTCAACTGAGACAACCTCAGCAGGAGCAGAGCTAAAACAGCATTTGCAGCAGCTGCAAATACCCTTGTACCCACCTACAGGCAAAATCAGGGCTGTTCTCCACCCTCAAATGGCTGAACTAGTCTGCAAAAGGAGTTGAGAAGAAAATAAAGATATAGAAAAACAATTAACTCTATCCCAGCTGAAACCAGGACAGGAAGTAACAAGATTTTTCGTGTCACTTCATTTTCTGGGCTAAGTGCAACTCTTCCAAAGCGAAAGACAGACATTCATTCCGAGCAGCTGGGGATAAGGGGATCCTCATTTACAGGGAACATCCCAAACCCAACCCCCCACCACGCACAACTCACCAGAATTAACCCAAAGCCTGCAGCTTGCAGCAGCTCTGCCAGAAAAGTCTCTTGGAGAGGGATAACTCAGTTTTCTGCTGTGCAGCATCTGCTCCAGCCTTTGTCAGACACTCCTTTCCATGTCCATCTTCCCTCCAGCCATCTGCACCACAACCCATCCATTGTTCCCAACCGCTTTTCCAAGGGATCCAGCACCCACAGCACTAAGAACAGGGTGTTCTGCCAAGGAGCAGATGCTTTTGAGCATTCACAAGTGTGAGGATGCCTGACAGTGCCTTCAGCTGTCCCATTCCCACCTCTTGTCCTCCTGTAAGTGCCAGTCTCACGGAGCCTGAGGCACCTCGCTGGGCTCTGGGTTGCTCTGATCTCCCAGCAAAGCCCTCAGTGAGGACCAGGTTGCTCAAATTGATTAGAATTCATTGTAAAAATTCACTCCCCGGTCAGGCATGGCAGGTTTGGAGAGAATCCACAGTTTGTTCACATCACAGGTATCACACTCCTCTTGTAAAGACAAACTGCGACCTGAGTGTAAGCAGGGAGCGATCCCAGCTCCCTGCCAGGGATCCCAGGGCAGGCAGGGCTGCACCACCCTCTAGTGCACACCCAGAGCAGTGCTGCCCGCACAGCAGCCCTGCCAGCCCCGGGAGCATGGCCACGACAGGGCAGTAGGGAAAAGATTAGGCAAAAGGAATTCCCTTGCCCAGCCCGGCTGTGCCTCACCCACAGCTGTGCCACAGGACGGAGCCATCCCACACCACGGCAGCTGTGGGGGCAGAAGGGAGGGGGATCCTCCGAGGGGGAGCCCCAGAGCAGAACACAGAGGGGTTCTGGCCCTGGCATAGGTGACAGACACTGTCCTGCACACCCTGCACCCCACACACCCATCACTCCACACACCCAGTACCCTGCACATCCAGCACCCTGCACACCCATCACCCCGCACACCCAGACCCTGCATACCCAGACCCTGCACACTCTGCCCACCCAGCACCCCACACACCCATCACCCCACACACCCATCACCCTGCACACCCAGCACCCTGCACACCCAGCACCCTGCACACTCAGCACCCTGCACACCCAGCACCTTGCACACCCAGCATCCCGACCCTCGGCACCCTGCACTCCACCCACTCCTGACACCCTGGACACCCCTAGCACCCCACACTCCACATCCCCTGCACCCAAGGCCCCCAGCACCCTGCACCCCTGGCACCCCAGAGCCTGCACCCCAGCACCCTGCATGCCAAGCACCCTGCACCCCACACCCTGACACTCCGGACCTTGCACCCCCAGCACCCTGCACACCCTCACCCTGCACCCCACACCCTCAGCACCCCAGACCCTGCATCCTCCATACCCTGAAATCCCAGCACCCTGAATGCCCAGATCCCTGCATCCCCAGCACCCTGCACACCTGGCACCCTACAACCCCAGTACCCCACACCCCAAGCCCCCTGACACCCCACACCCTCGGCATCCCACACCCCTGGCACCTCAGACCTGGAACTCCCAGACCCCCAGACCCCAAGCACCCTACAGCCCACACCCCTGGCACCCCACACCCCTGGTACCCTGCACACCTGGCACCACAGTTTGAAACCAAAATTTTGCAAGAAAGACCCAACTGTTTTCCCCAGGTCCTGCTTCCAAACGAGCCCAGTATCAGAACTGCCCAGAGCCTCCCAAAGGAGGGTCCTCCCGACCCCGGGAGCTGGAGCAGAGGCAAGGGACACAAAGGCACCCTGGGCTACAGGACAGTGCACCTGTGCCACCCACAAACCCACCCCACCTTCCCTGTAATCCCACAGGGTATCACAAGTTCCTGCATCAAAGGAGAAATAAAGCAGCCAGGTGATGGACAGAGGGGACAGTCACATTCCTCACACAGCATTTCTGAGCTCAGGAAACCACACAAAGAGGGAGAGAGCAGCTCTGGGGAGGGAGTTCCACCTCTGCTTAACTACCATGTTTGTTTGGGTTTTTTGGACACAGCTTCAGGAAACAGAAGTCTCTTGAGCATGACTTGGCACTGGGAGTGCTTAAGTACCAGGAATTGGGGGGAAAAAAAAAGGGAGGAGGTTTAGGCTGGGTATCAGGCTGAACTGAGTTACTCCGAGATTTGGAGTAATTCCTGCAGACAGGTTCCTGCTAACAGGGACAGACAGGTTCTCTTCAGGCATGTTGTACCTGCTGGAATCAGTGTGAATTCCATTGTAAACTCCCACAGGTCATTCTTCTCCCATGCCCACTTTCCTGCACACTCCACCTGAGGCAGCAACAAAAGCAGAACTGGAATTGGCTGGAACAGCACAGACAGTGACCCAAGTGAGCCATGAAGGACAGGCTTCTCAGCCTGCAGGGGAGAAGCTTCAGGGTGACCCAACTGCAGCCTGCCCGTGCCTGGAGGGAGCTACAAGAAACATGGAGAGAGACTATTTACAAGAGACTGGAGGGACAGGACAAGGGGCAATGGCTTCAAACTGACAGACAGTAAATTTAGATTGGATATTGGGAAGAAATCCTTCCCTGTGAGGGTGGGGAGGCCCTGGCACAGGTTGCCCAGAGAAGCTGTGGCTGCCCCATCCCTGGAAGTGTCCAAGGCCAGGTTGGACAGGGCTTGGAGCAACCTGGGCTAGTGGAAGGTGTCCCTGCCCATGGCAGGGGGTTGGAACTGGATGAGCTTTAAGGTCCCTTCCAACCCAGACTATTCTATGATTCTCTTTCTTCAAAACCAGAATTTCACTGCCCCTACACTCAAACCTCACTGTCACTGAGGAATGTGCCAGTCTTGCTCTTTTTCACCTGCTCCAGGGCTCATTCCAAGATACTCCTTGGGAGAAAAGGGGAGGGAATGATTTGATTTCTGGCCTTCTTTGTAAAAGCCTGTCTGAGAAGAGGCTGTTACTGCTGCTTGGGCTGTGACAGCAGTGGACATGTCTGACTAGTGCAGCATGTCCTACCATCTACCAGAAGAGTTAAAACCTCAAACAGGAAATGGTATCAGTGGAGCTTATCTTCTCTGACACCTCCTCTTGTTGAGCATCTTCTCAAAGACCCCCAAGAGCAGACCAAGGCCAAGGAAAGCCATGATAAGCCTCAGGAGCCCACACACCTGCTCAGCCACACTGGGGTTCCACACTCACTGAGCAGTTCTTACAGCAGTTTAAAAACACAAGATGCCAAGCTTAAAAATATGCATTTTCTTTTGAAAAAAACAATGTACAGTCAGATTTTAAGGGGCTCTACAAGAAGACACTCAGCTATCCTTAAGAAAAGTAAACCTTGCAATGCACTGCATACAGTTTTCTAGCCAGCATGAGTTGGGCAAACTGCAGTGTTTCCTGAAGGAGCTTCAGGGGCTTTTTTTTGTTTCCACCCTGTGGGCAGAGACACTCAGAAGGCAGCAGAGAGCTTCACACTGGGTTAGTTGTTCTCCTGCAGACCCAGCTCAGCGTGAGGCTGGTGTGGGCACAGTGGGCAAGGGCAGCTCCATGGAGGGGGTCTCAGTCACCTCAGCTGGACTCGGCTTGCGGAGCTCCAGCTTCTCGGTGAGTTGGTTGTAAAGCTCCTTCACAGCTTCCCCACTCTGTAAAATGAGAATTGAGGGGGGAAAAACAAGAGTCACACTCCATTGTAGCCCCTACTACCCAGCACAGCAAGTGTGCCATCACCCTGTAAAACCAGCCCAGAAAGAGGAAGGAAACTACAAGGTCATTAATTGAAGCTACAACTCAGTACACTCTGAGAGCAGAGCTCGTGGTGCATTGAACCACGTCTGGAAAGGCAGCTGCTTTCATCTGCAACCAGTTTTCCCCTTCTCATGCTCCCCTTCCTACCTGCTTGGTGGGTTCCAAAGCCTTTTGGAGAGACTCTAGTTTGGCTGGTGCCACTTTGTGATGCAGATGCAGCAGCAGCCTGAGCACGTGTCTGTGGACGTTCTCCTTTCTGCAGAACAAACACCACCTTGAGAGCCAGGAAGCTACAGCAACAGCACCAGAGTAATTCACACCCACACACACTGGGAGCTTTGTTAGAATTTTCCAAAAGGATTCGTGGAATTGCTCAACAGGAGTGGACCTGCAGCAACCACGAGGAGTGAGGGGGAGATTTTAAGCACAGACACGGCAGCAGCTCATCTCTGTAGGACAGGCCACGTGCACGTGGGTGTTTATCCCTCCATGTGTGGAGGATGCAGCAGCAGCAGCCCCAACAGCAGCTCCAGCCACTTTTTGGGAAGCTTTGTAGAGGTCAGATCTGGTCTGCAGGCCACCAGCTAAACCACAGGGACTTACCAGCAGTAACAACAGATTTCTGTGTGCAGCTGGTACTGCAAAGGGCTGAAGTTAACTGCATATTCAGAGCTACTGCAAAGCCTGAAGGATATTCTCCTTTGCAACTCCAATTTATGAATAATGAATTACAGTTCAGGTAATAATTTATAATCAGCACATTACAATTTTGCTGATAAAAAGTCAAAAAATATAAGCCTTTCCCTAAAAAAAAAAACAGCATCAGAATAGTATTTCCACAACATGTGAAGAATTTGCTGAACTATACTATACTGCTCAAAGCACTGAAACCTCTCTCAGGCATTCTGTAAACTGACTCCCTTCACTCCCCTCTGAGGAAAATCCTATTTACCTGGAGCAGGCAGTGAGGAAGAAGCCATCAAAGAGACTGGTGCAGAACTCCTCCAGTGCAAACTCATCCCCCAGCAGTGTGAGGTTCCCAGTGAGCAGGTGCAGGAAAATATCACTGAAGGCCAAGTCACTGAATGTCTCAACTAAACAACATGGAAAGCAAAGAGACA